GGTTTACCTAGAGAGAGAGACGTTTCTCTCAAAAGTTGAGGTATTGAAGGTGATCGTTGTTATATCCCTTGAAATCTTAACTAGAGATGAAGAGATTCTCTCAAGACTTGATGTGTTGAAGACGATGGTTGCTACTTCCTTGAAGGTTCCTATGGAGAGAGGAACTCATCATGCGAATTCCAAAGGGGAAGAGGGGAAGAGATGGCCGGCTATAGGTGGGACCACACGTTGACATTAGGGTTAGGTTAGAGGAGGAGAATCATCAAAAACTGAAGTTTGAATTTCAGATTTGAGTGTGGAGGATTTAGGAGCTTGGAATTTGAAATTATTCCAAAGAGAGGGAGAATTAATGGCAAGGAGAGAGGGGATTGGAAGCAAGCTAGGGGGCGGGTAGGAGAGATGGGAGGATGTTAATTGATTTCCAATTGGAGAAGTTCTCTACAACAACAACAACAACATCAAGCCTTTATCCCACTACGTGAGGTCGGCTACATGAATCCTTTTTCTCGATTGTGTCCTATTAAAAGTCAAATTCAAAAGAAAGGTGGGGAAATTGGAATTGCTGTCAAAAGGGGAATTTGGGATTTAGGAAATAATTTCCTAATCCCACCCAGTAGGGGCCGGCAATAATCAATGCTTGGAGAGGATTGATGGGGATAGATTTATAGCTTCTTAATTTGGGTATTGAAATTAGGAAATGTTTTAATTAAATCCTATTTGAATTTCAAATTCAAATAGAATTTAATTTAGGAACTTTCCTAAAATAGGTGTCTTAATTTAGGAAAGAAATTTTCAAATTCAAATTGCTTTGAAATTTGAAATTAAACCTTCCCAAATTAAGAGTAGATACTTATGGAAAGGATTCAAGGTGGGATTTGAATTTTGGAGGGAGGATGAGAGAAGAGGGCCGGCGACTTGGGGGGCTTGAAGTGGATTTCGGTGGTGGTGATGGGGATGAAGTTGGTCGGTGGTTTGGGTAGTGGGAGGGGTTTATGCGGTGCTGGTGGTGAGAAGTTGAGTGGCCGGCGGCAAAGGCTTGAAAGAACCTTGGCCGGCGGCTAGGGGATGGAAGAAAGGGTAAATGAGAAAAGAAAACAAAGATAAGGAACCACAAACCCGGCCGTCTCCAAGGTTGGTGGGTGATCCGATCTCCCTCTCTTAGGGCTCTCGCTCTCTCTCTAAGCACTCTCAAGATCTCTCAAGAACTAAAGCAATAGCACAAATTTTTTTTATCATTCAATCATTTACTTTAGAGGAAGAACATGATAGCTATAAATAGCCTCATACAAAAAGGACTCAAAGATAAAAGACGACCTTACTCTTAAGGCTTATATACGACTTCCCTTAAGCAAGGGGTAAAACAGGAAAAATAATTACAACATAAATAACAAATAACATAATAAAACAAATATATGAAATAACTCAAAACACATTGACTCGATCGTGGCCGTAGATCGACGGCCATGCCTCAGATATACTTTTCATGCCCTGATGTCCTCATCAATAAGAGAGCAACTTAAGCTGGTGTTCAGATGAAGGAAGAGGGATGAGCATGCATGATATAGACCAGCATAGAGTTGCGCATGTGGTTTGGTGTGTGTAGAAGAGTGTTGAAGCTACGGTCAATGGTCGGGCATGGGAGTTAGAAGGCTATGGGTTTTGTAAAGGGGTTGGCAAGTTGAAGCCTGATAGGAAACACTTGGATTTCCAAGTGTTTCTCACCAAAACCAAGTAGATCCAAAGTAAAACTGCTGTCCACAGCAGAAATCAGCCAAGAAACAGGGAAAAACAGGAGAATACGCTACAAATCTGAGAAGAAATCACACAAATCTATTGTATTCCAATAGTAGAAGCAAGACAATAAGAAAGATACAATGTTCTTCGATTCGAGAGGAAGAACAACTCTCCGACAAACTCCGGCAACGCCAAGAGCCCAAGCAAGAAACCCTAGATCTCAAATTACATTCAAATTCAAGATAACCCCCTCTCCCTCCTAATCCTCCTAATTAACAATAAAGGATTCCTACAAAATACCTAAACAGCCCTTTGCATTCAAAAATTTCCCTCCCACATAATCAAATCAGCCCCAAGTGGGGCCCACCTTGTCCGCCCCCCTCCTCTTTCTGTTTCCGCCTCCGCCTGGTATAGACCCGGGTTGGACCGGGTCCAGCCGGCCCCTCCTGGGCCGGTTCAAGCATAACAAAGCCATTGGGTGAAAGATAGCGTTGGGAGAGGAGGAACGTGTAAAAACGTGCAAGAGTCACAATAGGGGTTCATAGGTTGCATGAATTGCACAAATGGGTTTAGGGAGCTCTAGATTGTTAGGAGAAAAAGATAACAAGAGGATTCTTAGGAGGGAGAAAGAGGGGCTGGGAGAGGAAGATAATGAGAGAGATTGAAAGACAAGTGTTGATGATTAAGGGAGTTCATTAAGAGTACGAGAAATAATACGAAAGGAAGAAAATGCGGGAATTGAGGCATTGAAATTAGAAAGTTGTCAATATTAAAAAATTGTAGTTCAGATGTGTAGTCTCCCCCCACTGTTTAAACAGAACATGTGGGAAAAGGCAGATATGGTTGAAATGATGGATTAGGGTGGTAATTTATATAGTGATGTGGGTAACGTGTGACTATTGGGCTAATGCTCTAGAGCCAAAGTTTGGGGAGGAGTGAGCAATTGCAATAGTAAGTAGGGTTGAAGGTGTACCATAGGCATGGAGAGACATACCAAGCGCGTTTGTAACTAACAAAGGTGCAGGAGATGCCCAACCATAAAAGTTGGGCGTATGTGCAAGTTTTTCTCCTTCTCTTTATTTCATTTTTCATCCATTCTAGTTCATAATGTTTTTTGAGCAAATACAAATGCAAATAGTTTGATCCACGTTTTTGCATAAATATTATATCTGCATGAATAACAAGATTATTATTGTTATTCATAGCCATCTAACATAAGTACACAAGCTTCATAAAAAAGAGCATAATAAAATATATTTTGTAACTAGTGCCCTTAGTTCAATTTTTACCTGCTTCAAAAAAATTCTAAACATGGATAACTTTAAAAAAAAATTAATTGAACTGACAAGAATTTAAGAGAATTTGTTGAGGTTTTTCATTCCAACATTTGTGAAGTACTTATACAATCTTGGGGTAATAGAAAATAAACAAATTTAAGATGAGTATGTAGTCCAAGGATTAATGAGTATGTAGAATAACAATTACAAAATAATTATAATAGTCCACGAATTGATGAGGTGGCACTAATAACCCAACAGATCATCGAAGTGGCATTAAATGGAAAAAAAACTTGTGGGTAACTATTGGCCTTCGTAGAGCATTGATGGAGACAGAATGATGAAGATTAATTTTTTCACACTTCCCCTCAAACAAATTAATGGACTTGATCCATTCCAGGCTTGCCTGATGATTTCTAAAAGCTTTTCCTCAATAATCCTTTGATGAAAATGTTAGCAAGTTGTTCCCCTGCTATAGATGTTTTCTCAAGTTCTCTTAGCAAGTCTTTTTGCCTTCCTTGGCCTGCTAAATGGCCCAATTTTCTTCTTTCTTTTTAAGAACCTAAAAGCTAATCACCATCACTTAAGATAATTCTTTCTATATAAACACTTTATATTTCATCCCTTAATTCCAAGAGAGCCCAAGACCAAAAGTTTGGGGATATTGTTATTGTTATCCATGGAGAAAGAAATTATGTTTTTATTCACTGGGAAAAAAAGGAAAAAAAAAACAAAAAGCGGCAGTGGCAGTGCAACAGTAAAGGCTTCAACAATGAGCATAATTTATAGTACTGCGGCGATGAAGGCTACAATAACAAGTAATGTTAGCGACAATGCAACGAAAAATGCTACAGCCATAGAAAAATAGGAGAAATTGAAGCAAGTGTAGCAATGAATGTCGTAAGGCTGTGGTAATGTAGCAATGAAGGACAGAAAATTGTGGTAATGCAATGATGGAAATCTGATGCAGTGCATCTCCGTAAATCGGGCTCAGCAATCGCATGCCACACTCCACTACTTATTTTCTATTATAGTTTTCACTACCTAGTAACAACTTTTGTCTTTTAGCTAAAATAGTATATGATTTCTTTTTACTTGTATGGACTATGGAGTAAAGATAGAAATGGGTGTATATATATATATATATATATATTGAAAAACAGGAGGAAACATAAGATAATATATCCAATTTTCAGAATTCCTGTTTCGTTTGTGCTTTTTCTGCTTGATTGTTCTTGATTGCAGGTACCTGGATACTCTTTGGTGCAGTTAACACATCAAAACCCCAAGATGAAGGCTGCAGGAATGAAAATACAAGAAATGGAAAAATCCTAAAGTTTGAATGCCATGACAAGAACAAGAGAGAATTTGTTGAGCATTTCATTCAACACTTGTATAGTATTTACATAGTCCAAGAAAAGCTTGTAAAAAGAATCATATATAAACAAGGAATAATAATTACAGAATAATTACATTAGTCCATAGATTGATGAGCAAGTAGTATAATATTACCAAATTTCACCGATTGTTGAGGGGGCACTAATAATCCCACGAATCACAAAGTGACAAAGTGAAAAGGAAGGTTGAAGACTATGAGCTCGATGAAATATTGATGGAAGCGGAATTGATGGAGGTTGGTATTTTCACATGACAAATATAATTTCTAAAATACCATACACAGAATTAGCAAGGTTTTCCATGCTTACTAGCCTACTGAAAGAAAACTGATGAATGTAGTTGTTAGGCACCAACATGATTATCTTTGAACTGAAAGAAATTTGAGATTGCAAAATATTCATCGTGAAATATTGATGTTGTAAAATTTGATGAAATCAAGCAACTCACTTCAATCTAATTGAGAAAGTGGAATACAACTTCTTCAATGTCAAACAGTTAGTTCATCAAGACCAGCCCTGATTGAAGGTACATTTTTGCTTCCCAAAAAAAATAACCATTCAAAGTTACCTATTCTCAATCTTTTAGAATTACCTGTAGCGAGAAGCTTCTCTTTCTGAAAATGTATTTGATGCCCTTCTATTAGCAGTCTGATGATTTTGCAATCTCAGTAAAGTTACAGGTAGATTTTCTACTTCTTGCTTGCAGACATCACATGTCTTATTTCCCTTGATGCTGAACCATTTTATTGTACATTCTTTGTGAGCAAGTGCAAGTTCCCCTTTGCAGCTACACTCCATCTTAAAAGTTTCCCCTCCTTCCCCAAGTTCACATAAGCATATCCTGCAGACTGCCTCTTCTTCAGGAATATCTTCACCTTCATCTTCAGCTGAGGTAAAGAAATACGAAGCCAGCAGTTTTCAGGTTTGCTAGGTGGAAATATAAAATACTTTCACTATAGAAAAATAACATGACATGCAAAAATTAATAATCTTTATCCAACCTATCCAAAAGTTAAAAACTTGGTTTGAGGTTTAGGTAAGCCTAAACTTTGGTCCACAAGCTTTTCAAACCTAACTTGTGATACACAAGTATATTTGGACGTCCAAAAATGTAGGGTCTCTAATGCGTAAATAATATTATAGATGCCAAAAATCATCCAATAAGCCCAAAAATGCATTGAACAAACTACTAGCCCAAAACAGTTATATATGCAAGGAAATCAATCAAGACAAAAAACCACTGGCCTTCCATTAGAAATTAATGAGAATAAGAATATAAAAGCCAATGAACATTTGAACTTCATATACTTGACAAAAATTCAATGTCTAGCCAATATGAAAAAACTCACTCACTTTTTAAACAAATAGCAAAAACATCAAAGAAGACAGGAGACAGGAAAAAAGAATGAAGTTAGTAGAGCTATACAGCATAAACACAAGCCTCGTGGCTATAAAAGGAGACAAACTCTCTAGAATCATGTGATTGTTCACGATATAAATTATTTCAGCCATTAAAATTTGAACTAATAAAAATTTTAGAGATTTTTAACGTTTAAGCTCTGGCCCCAGCTCATTGTATATCTGATGTCTTAATTTTTCATGTGGTTAATTTCTTAAGGGTTCCAATAGCAAACTGTGGAAAGTTTGGGCAAAATAGAAGGACCAAACAGCTGTTTTAGAATTGGAAGGTGTTAAGGCTGCTACAAATCAGGAATAATGTTTGGGAGAATATAGAGGGGGTACAGCAGCAAGGAGATGTAAAGACTACTACATTAAATCAAGAATCGATTCTGGATTCTCGAATGGAATTCAGAGAAAAATCTTGTCTACAATAGGCTTCCTAATCATAGAATCTAGCAGTTGTCTTTGATTGTCTCAAATTCAGCTCCACCGCTCAGCCCGAGGACGGAAAATTTTATGAAGTGCTTAATTCCCTCGTTGCTAACTTCCATAAAAAGTGAGTAACATTATGTAATAAATGTGCTTACTGGTTTCTTAAACTTCTATTATTTCCTTTTTTTTCTTCCTTCTCTGATTATTGTATTAATTATTTATAAAGCACTTAATTCTTCCCCTGGAATATAAAACTGAGTATATTTCTCTTTCCATGTTTTTCAACATTGATCTTGATTCTCTAGTTCTTCTCTTTATTGATCATCATTCATAACAACGATGATATTTAAACACAGAGTAGTTTCCGATGCACACTTATACTCCAACACCTCTAGCCATGAGTCTATTCCTCATGGCAACCTAGGAGAAAGAAAGCTTCTCAATCCACCATTCATAGAACGCAGGCTGAATGACAACCTCCGATGGGCCCAATTAGAATGATTAAGGGAAAAAGATTACCTCATAAGTCTGGCCTTTCATCCTTCAAAAAAAAGACCCAAAGTTTAAACTATAGAAATCTAAAAACATTGCAATATGATGCCTTATCAACACCATAAAAAATAAAATTAGCCTAAATTTCATATTTTATGGAACCATCAAAGAAATTTGAAATTTCACAAATAAAACAAACTCTAACAATAAAAATATTGAAGAGATACTTGAAATCAAAAGTACCCTCTATGATCTTTTTCAACAAGGTGTTCCCTCCATTACCCAATATTAGAATACCCTTGCCTGATATCAGCAACAACTAGATGTTTTTAAGGAACTGGACTAGGAAGGTCCAATAACTTCAACCAAGAATCATAAAATTGTTGAGAAAGGGAGAATATCAACATTCCTTTTTTAATTAAATAAAAATATCACTGAAGTCTGAGTTAGATTATTTGGGACAAAAATCCTTCCATTTATAGGGGCATTGTTCTCATAAGTCCGAAGAGAAGAAAATCGAAAAAATATCATGACGGGTAACCAAGGAGTACCGACTTACCTTAAAGGATAAGCACTCACTTCAAAAGGTATGTTTATTTCCAACAGCAATTCTACACAAAAAAAAAGGACTTGTTGTGACCACAATCAAAAGTCTGGACACACAAAAGAAACTTTTTAAAAAATATGAGAAAAGTCCACTAACTGGAACTTTAGAAATCTGGAAAACAAGGTCATTGTTTCTCTATGACTAACAGTAATTTTTAAAAACCAACATCAATGACATTTAATAAAGAGCGAATTGATATGATGTGAAAGATGATTAGCCACCTCCAAATAAATCCAACCACACATGAAATCAACATCGAATAAATGGCTCAAAAAATGTATGGTTTTGAATTAATTACGGATAGCGCACTCAGGAGCATCTAATCATATGACAGGGCATACATCTTTATTTCACAAAATGCGACCATATCTCCAGAACTACAATGAGAAAGTTACAGGCTTTGGAACAATAAACATCTCCATTGCTATGGTTTTAAATTCAGTCATATTAATTCTCAAGCCTTCCTACGCTGTCTCATATATCAATAAAATCACCAAGCATATGAAGTGAGTTAATTTTTTCCCACTCATTGAGAATTCCAAGATGCAATCTAGGGGAGGACAACTGATAGTGCTAAAGGAAAATGCTGAAACTTTACCTCTTACATATTAAAAAAAAATCATTAATTGCAAATAAAATATGCTCATGATGATGTATCATATCCTAAAGAGAGTGCAATTACGTTATGGCATCTCCGTCTTCGTCATCCCAAATTTATGCACCTTAAAAAATTGAATACTTCATCAAAAAGAAATCTAAATCATTCATTGTGAAACATGACACTATCCGAACACAAAAAAAAAAACAAATATTTAAACCACATTTATAAGGCCTCTCAAATGTTTCTTGTTATTCATAGTGATAAATAAGAACCATCTTGGATGACGAATATCCCAAGAGCTAGGCGGTTCACATAACATATTGATGATATACAAAAATCATTTAAATTTTTTTAATAAAAGATAAATCTAAAAATTGCCACTTTTTTTAAAAAAAATCATTATTAAATGAAAACCCAGTTTATAACCCAATTTCAACTCTTCGAGACTAATAATGAAAGAGAATACTCTAATTTCATTCTTAGAGACTATCTTTTTCAATAAGAAATTGATCACCACAATTCTTATATAGATCACCTTAGCAAAACAAGATTGCAAAGAAAAAAATATGCACCACCCTAAAAATTGCTAGATTCACTATGATTACAAGCAATGTTCCAAATCATTATTGAGAATGAGATGTACTTCCTGTTGCCTCATAAAATTGCATGTCATCAAGAATCCATAAGTTCAAAAACACTTGTCAAATCATCATCATTACTCAAAAATTGACTCATCTTTACTATTCCCCTCAAAGTCCTTGGTTATTCTATCTTTTGTTCTCATTCCTCATGAAAGGAGCAAATTTGACCCTAAAACCATAAAATGCATTTTTATTATCTGCTCTCAAAACCAACAATGGTACAAATATTACTCTCTTAAAATACAAAAAATGAAAATATAATAAAATGGACAATATTGTTTTGAAAATCAACATTTCTTCCCCAAAACTTACATTTAATGGGACAACTCTATCAATTAATATGACTTTTGTGAAAATATCCATCCCATTTTATCCAAGTTTGCATCTCTCTCAAAATTACCCAAATTCCATTCCTCTAGTTGTCCTCAAATTTCATGAGATCACATATAACGAGTAAGACAAAGGAATTGCCTATTTCATATGTCAAGAAAATTCAAAAAACAAGGGAGATTAAAGCATTTCACATTAGGTCAACTAAATGTCTGCTCCTATTTTCATAAGATAACACTGATTCTCATCTTAATACATCGATAGCTCGCAAGCAAGGTACAAAGAAACGCACCAAAAAGCCGATCAGTGAGCATATTTCATATGAAAATTTATCTCCTCGGTTACATGACTTTACAGCAAATTTTTCTAACATGAACATCCCCAACAACACTTATGAAACATTAAAGTATCTGAATACAAACATGTTGTTCATAATGAATTGTAGATACGGAAAAAAAAAAAGGAAACTCTACCCAGCCAAAGAGGAAAAAAAAAACTTGTTGAGTGCTAATGGCTTTTCAATGCCAAATACAAGGTTGTTGGAGCCATTGAAAGTGTAAGGTTGTACTGATTGCAAAAAGGTTTATTCAAACATGCAGGATTGATTATAAACGAAAAAAATTACACTAGTTCAGATAAAGTCAATCGGTTCATCCTTTCTCTTGCTCCCAACTTGGATCGATCACTCCGAGCGTCGAGCATCTTCAGCTTCTTCCTGCCTTCCGAGTGTCGCCTTCCTGCGTCTATAGAGGCCGGAGTGTGAGCGTCCAATTGTCGCCTTTGGCTTCGTCTTCCTCTGGTAAAACTTCTTTCACTTGGCTTCCGATGGCTTCCTCTCTATCTTGTTCGTGTCTCTGATACCATGTTGAATTCAGAAGATTGGAGTGGGAAAAAGCTTGAAACTTTATTCACCATGATCCCTATTTATAGTCTATACAAGATGCTTACATAAAGAAACAAATTACTACACAATAAAGAGTAATACAATCCTTCCTAATTCTATCGTCTAACTAAGGAAGGCTCATAGCGTGAGGAAGCTTCCCACGGATCACTATTTGCATCCATGGGATTAATTCGGGATTGAAGGGCTGGGATTTAACAAAGCCCTTAATCAAATACAATTCGATAAGCTCAATTTCATATCCTAAATAAAGCCCTTCAGTCAAACTTAAAGAATTCACGCTTGTCTTAAAACTTCAACTAAGATCCAACAAGAAGACTCATATCATACCAACACCAATCATAAAACCATCCAAAAGCCCAATTATGACCCAAAAAGATGGATTTCAAAGTTGAAAGTCTCCCTTTGTCCGCCATTAACCAAGGGATATAGTGGTCCAGCTCTAATGCTAAAAGCAAGGAGACTTGGTCGTCAACCCTACAAGCAATCAAAGAACCAAATACCAATCAGCCAAAGGCATTTTTATCAAGCACATATTTGGATACAAAGTAGCTCATACATTTTCCATCTAGCTCATAGAAAGCCCTAAACTACCCTCCACCCGCACCATTATTAATGCCATTCTACATGAAACATTAACTTACTTCCTAAACTATCAAATCCTCTTATGAATTTGAGCATAAGAACATCTTCCCAAAGAAATATTCTTCTATGTAGGGCGCATTTTCTATGGTTCTAAATGTTCATAAAACAAAAGATCTCTATCGAATTTCAACTATTTCCAGAAGCAACAATCCTATCATTTTGATAGTAATCTATATATATGATCTAAAAGGTATGATTATGAAAAACAAGAACCACTTGGCCAAGTGGTTGGCATGCTTGATTCATGAATTCTCATTGATGCTTACAGTTTTGCACTACATACATTTTATGTTTGTGATAACCATGCCAATTCATAGCCAACCTAGTCAATTCTCCCTCCTTCCCTCCCTGTAAGGACAGTTTTGAAACTCATGGGACAAGAAGGCAAGTTTACAACACTTAAGGACCAAAGTGTTGGATGATCTAAACCTAAGGAAGCAAAAAGTTTTCAACCAGAATTAATGAACTAGTCAAACTCCTTGCAAAAAAATAAACTTCGTTTATGACGTACTTGGATTTGTGATTCAAAATAGTAAGAAAATTACCATGTAAATAAGAAAAAGCAAAGCACGTTTCTTACCATTAGTTGCTTCAATAATTTCAACTTCAGTAGAATTATCAACAACAATAGGACGAGGTGATGGGATCACACGTATCAAACCTAATGAATCTGCTCTTCGTAAGTTCCTGCCCTTGGCATTATCTGGCACTGAAAGTGACCGTGTAATATGTTTCCGGGCTTGTGGTTTCTGTCCAAAAAACAACATCATGTAAATAGCTGGCAATAAAAAATAAAAGGAGGAATTACATATATAATACTAAAATCTTACATATTTATAAAATTAACACCCATGTCTTTTTTTTTTTTTAATTATTAAACCCATGTATTTGGGCATGCCATGATCAAACTGTTGGAATTTGCAAAAAAAAGCAAAAAAAAAAAAAAAGAGTTAGGGTTTTGTTATGAATTTTCATATTTGAGCCAAAATTTGAAAATCAAATATGAAAATTGAAAGTAGAAGATTTGTGTGTTATGCATGAAATTTCCCCAAATGAAAATCACACATTACAAAGTTGACAAGTAAACAAGATGCATGTAAAGTAAATTGTGGGAAATAAAATAGCATAAACAACATAACAAATGAATTTAGCATCTATAACAAAAGGTCATTCAACATTATTTGATCAATTACTCATTCAAAAACCAAATTAACATATAGTGTTCATCCTTATAGGAAGCACACTATTCTATTTCTTTTCTATCTTCCCCTGTAATTTATAGGTGTTTATTCAACTTGACATATCAAGTTAGCCTTAGCCATCAATTGAATTTATAAAATGGCCACCCCACAAAATGGTTTAGAGAAGATAAAAATGCATACAATAACAGCATATCTCCCTTGAATTCAACTTCATAATTGTTAATTATAACTGCAGCAAATCACACTAGAATACTTCTTACCTTAATCCTCTTTTTCATTATATTATGCCATGTTAACACCATGATAACTTATTGTGGTGTGGTTATTTATTACCAAATAGTATCACTTCCATGTATTTACTTTGTCAAATCACAAAGTCAGTTGTTTTTTTTTTAAGTATTAAAGATGAAAAAATGGCAAGTGCCTCAAGGGACTAATGCATGTGAGAAACTGTCCAATAATCACTCGTAGAATGGCATTCATTCCTTGTCTTGTTGCATAAGCAAAGAATCTCTTAAGGAACATTTTATATCCAAAATCACACAAATACATGCAATGTCATAAAGAGATCAGGATACTAAAAGCTTACATCTGGAGTGGGGATGTCAATCACATGTCTTTCCTGTGAAGACTCGAACCCTGAATTTCCAACGGGTGTTGCCGGCAATGACAGTGTTCCTTTAAGTGTCATGGACGACAAGACCTTGGTTAAAGAGAATGCTCTTGCTATAGAACTTTTATCCTGTTGCCCTTGTGATGGGGTCGACGATGTGAGCAAATTTGTTTTGTCACCTTCTGGGGTGGAATTCTTAGTCTTAAAGCTCCATTGAGGAAGAATATTTCTCACTGGTAGTTTTGCCCTTGATGATGAAGGCCTGGGCGGGAGACCTGGTCTTGTTGAAGGAGGCGTTGCTGAAGAAGGAAAATTTATTCTTGCTGCGTTAATTTGAGAATTCTCTAGAGATCTTGCTGGAATTTGTAGGGAGGGAAGGCTTGGACGTCTAGAACGATGAAGCGATGAAGATTCACCACCACTACCCTCTGCTCGATTAAATTCCTGCAAATCGAAACTTTAGTTTCTCCCAATCATATGTGTCCTTGAACTGCAACCAAGCAAGCACCACTGTCATGAACCCTATCAGCATCTCAATTACAAAGATAATCAACTTCCCATGTGCTCAACAAAGTTAAATTAATAAAACAAAAAATAGACAGTCTGCAACTCACGGGTAAATATACTCAGTTCAAAAGCATTAATGACCAACTCTAGCATCAATACGAAGTTCACCTCAATACTAGACTCCTATGCAGATCAACTAAATGGAATGACTACTCACAGCAAGGAAAATCAAAACAAGAAAGGAAATCGATGACTAGTATTTACAAAATCAATTTCCAAAACTGAGCCCTAAACCCCCTAAAAATGATAAAAAAAAGGCTAAAATCTCAAAAGAAAATCAAAATCAAAGCCCGATGCATTTTGTCTCCCCATATACATCTATTTCAAATGTATTCTGCGACCAAGCAACAGAGACATGCCTCAAAGAAATTTACACAAGCAGCCAGTGGAAAGCTCAAAATACATCAAAACACGACCAACGGAAACACAAAAAACGGAGAGAAAAGATAGTTGCCTGCCGATCCGCGGAACCAGCCGCTGCAACCTGCGGCGTTAACGGTTGAAGATGAGGAACTCCGGCGCTCTCCATGAACGACTATTGATCAAAATCCCAATTCCGCCAAACAAAACAAAAATCACCAAAAATAAAATTCCTCCGCCGATATAATCCAAGTGACAGCTCGCCGATTTCTTCTTCGTCGCAGAGAATTCGTCTTCCTCGCGCCCTCGAGATGCTAAAAAACGTTTGAGATTTATCGAACTCGACGCTCAGAAGTAGAATTTGTGCTCACTGTCCGGACACAAAATCGATATTAAAATGGATTTAATCCACCGTGTGTATTGCGTTAGGCCTGGGATAGCGACAGTTTATTTGCGATCCTTCCGCATGCGGATGAATACAACCAGCCGTCCAATTAGAGAAAGGCGCATCGCCACCGTTCATATGGTGGACTCCAACTGGTTATCACGTTAACCAGCAATGAGTGTCTTAAGTGCTGATTAACGCGGGAAGGTGCAATGGTGCTTCGTGGGGGCCACATCACCACCGCCTGACTTTGACCTTGCGGCCGACGTCCATTGTGCGAAAAGTGACATTTTAATACGAGATAATTATTAGATAAATAACTATTTCTCTCTTTCTCTCTCTAAATTTAATGTTAGTACTTAGTACTATAAAGTTATACTGTATTAAGTTGATTAAATCATCATAAATATAAAATATCTTATGTATAATATGTCATAAAATATTCATTCATTTATTTTATAGTATTAATATAATTTTTAGATCTCAAAATATTAAATATTTAATTGACAATTATTTTTTTTGTGATACTTAAGTTAATTAAGATAAACTCATACACATATATCACATATTAGTCAAAACTCTGAACCAACAGATCAAGTTGAGTTACGTATTGATAATGATTCTGAGATTATTTGATTTCCTTCCAATGAAAAAGAATTATTGCATGTCATTATTATAATTTTTGTGCTCCTATGATATTTATATATGTGTATTGTGTTGGATTCTTATACAAAACAAAAATGTTAAACTTCCTAATCCTCTACAATCGTTAATTTTCCAGCATGAGCAAGACATATTTAGTAATATTGATCTAAATCCAAAATAATTTAAATCAAACATTTAAAAATTGCCAAAGCTTTCTCCAAATCATTTCAAAAGTCAAACTTCTATTGAATCTCATATGATTATAATAAAAACATACACCTTGTCAAACATACCACAATATTCTCTCCAAAAATATGTAAATAGTTATTGCTTCTACGCATTAGAAAATGCTTAATAGGAGAATCAAAGAAAATTTTCAAATTAAGGAATTAAGAGATCCAAAGAATTGCAAAGCTTATCAACCATTTTCACAAATTGAAGTTTGAAATCGCCAATGTCAACATTCGCCATGGCCAATAAAGATGACGCACACTGTTGTCAATAACGTAAATACCAGATATCACCAACAATATCAATGATTGTTTTCTTGGCTTTTGATTTTCTCTTCTATAAAGAAAATGATGACTAAGCATATCATTGATTGAATTGATAATTTTATAATACTATAATGTTGGTTGCATTCACCCCACAAACAAACTGTCTATCCCGACCTGATGGTGATAGTTAAATTTATTTAAATATCTATTTTATATTCGAACAGTGAGCTCACATTCTATTTTGGAGTGTCAAGTTCGATAAATCGCAAACGTCTTTTAGCATCCCAACTCTTAGTTTTATGAACCAAAAAACAAAAGTTGTCAAGTTTTTAAAATAATGTAATTTATGGAGGGATTTATATAATTTAGAATGTCATATCTAGTATTAATTTAATACAAATTGGACTAATTTGAAATAAAAAAATAATGTATTTTGCATCCATATATTCGAACACGATTTGCCCATCACTTTTGTTCTTGTCAACGACGACGAAATCACGAGCTACCGATTAGGGTTAACGGAATAATTTTTTTTTTTTTTTGTTGATTTTGATTTTGTTTGCTGGAATTGGGATTTTGATCAATTTTCGTTCTTGGAAAGCGGCAGAGCTCTTCATGTCATTGCTCATGCCATAAGTAATGGCAACAAATTTCATTTATCTCCAACAGGGGTACTGGAATCATAAATAGCTTAGTGTGGGCAATTGCTAATCCTGAAATCTATTTTACAAAATAAATAAATACTTTAACTACTTTGTCCACCTTCAATAAATGTAGTTGCCTAAATTCTTAAAAAAAAAATCTATTTTACATATAAGATTATGCATTTCTCAATCCTATTTTAGCTCACCCTATAAAAAAGGCTCGCGAATCACTTTTCTCTTCATTTAAGCCGTTGTTTGGAGCATGATTTAACCTAAATCTTGCCAAATGCGAAAAACACATTTTTCATTAATACTTTTTGTTTACGTACATTTAGATCAGTTAAGACAAATTCACAAACAACACATATGCAAGACTGAAATCTAAAACCTCTATGAAACAAATCTTCAATCTCACACCAGCTTAAATCTTCCTACTTATTGTCGAATTTACTAAATCCTAAGTTCGACGAATATTTAGAGGATTTATGGAGAAGAGTGGCAGGAGAAAGCGAGGTAGATTGACCAATTCGACGTAGGGAAGGATTTACTGTTAGAGGAAGGAAGAAAAATGCCCCTTAGCTTTTTCCCGTATAAGAATTATTTAGGAATTGTAATCTTATCTGTTGTTCTCAATGGTTAATCTGCATAGTATTAAGATGAGCTTCATGTTGACACCACAGTTGGCCATTAATGATTTTGATCTGATCATATTTACCTTTTTTTGTTTCAAACAGTCTACTTTGTTGAGTACATGGGAAGTTGACGGTCTTCGTAAGTGAGATGCTGATAAGGTTTATGATGGCGGTGCTGTGCAAGGCCGCCTGAGATGATTTGGAGAAACTGAAGTCTGGATTTGCAGGAATTTGATCGAACTGACGGCAGTGGACTATGTGAAACTTCTGTCCTTACAAATTCCTGCAAGATCTCTTGAGAATTATCAAATGAACTAAGCAAGGATAAGTTTTTCTTCTTCTGCAATGCCTGGTTTCCTGTTTCCAGCAGATATCTTTATGGATTTTCATCTTCTATAGACAAAAAACAAAAGATATATATATTGTTCTTCGTAGAAGGATGACCAACCTTTCTGTGTCATTCTTGAAGTGATAATATAATTTCTTAAAGAATAGTTGATCAAACAATGTTGAAGCACCAAGCTGAATTCATTTATTGTGTTGTCTTCGTCTCCGTTGCTTGATCCCAGAACAAATGCATGAAGGGAGATTCGTTTGGAATAGTTTTTTATTATTTTTGGCCGCATCTTTCTAGCACAATATTTTTTAAAAAATAATAATAAAACAGTGATCAAAAGCTGTACCATACAATTATCTCAACGTGATGGAATCCTACAAGCACTTAAAAAAAAAAATTATATTTGAACTTAAAGCATTTGAACTTTATTTCAAGCACTTTTCAAAATAGCCTTCAGATCTTAAAAATAGAATCTTAAATTTTTGGCATCAATTTTGAGATCATTTGAACTTTGTTTCAAAAAAAATTATAATTAAACTTTGTTTTAAAAATCTTATATTTGAAATAAGCGGCTTAATGAGAATCAACTCCAATATTCAGTATTACGAGTTTTAGTAAAAAATATTAAAAATTTCCCTTCAAAAATCCATAAATATGCAAAGGAAATGATAACATATCAACTTAATAATTGTTTTCAAATTGCTAATTATATTAAAAGTGTATTTGATATATGCATATCATTGTAAGTATATAATTGCATAAAATTTAAACAAAACAATTTAATCAATTTTAATTATAAATAATATACTTTACATATGAGTTCGTATTTAAGAAATCTTTTTTTAGACAATTATAAATTTATTCATTTTGTTAACATAAAAAGAAGAATTTTTTTTAAAGAGAAAAAATTTCATTATGACCGATGAATTTGTCACTAATGATGGGTTTATTATTGGGGATGAGTTCCATGAATTCTTTTTTATGGATGAAGTAACACGACTTAGGGCGGAGTTCATCCTGGAAAAAAGCCGAAAAACATTACTACCGGAAATATACATCCGGTTTCGATTTCCCATGCAATTTATTCCGGCGGTCTTAAAACCGTCTGAAATCCGCATGAATATTTCAAAACCGCCGAAAAATTGACGTATACCATTAGTAATGGACGATTTTCATGTAGTGAATTTTTTGTTGCTCTTTGTTATGTAACTTTGTGAGCAAAGTTTTTAATAATTGGTTGTTTTTAGGCTTGCCCTCTAATCTTCTATTTATAAGTTGGGTAGAGATAAAGCTATATAGAAAATTTACATAAAAGGTAAATTAATAAATTACTGAATTATTGATATATATAGATTGATATATGCTAATTATATTTCTTTAAGTGTATGAGATATGTATTAAGGCATACCAACTATAAAATGGGCATGCTTCAAAACACTAACAAATCTGGTTCGGTCTAATAAATCATGAACCGACCTCTAATAACCAACTGACCTGACTAGAGCATTGATCCTAGTGATTTTTTGTTGGAAAAAAATAATAAAAAATATATTTAATTCGCCATCTTAAAATATATATATATATACACGTACGTAGAGCTACATTCGACCGACACTAAGATCGCAGGCACAAAACGAAAAATACCTAGTAATACCAACAATAACGACAATACCGAGTTTTTTCTAGAAAAACTCGGTATTTTTTGGGATTACTCGGTATTGCTCGGTATTACTCGGTATTGATCTTCACAGCGCGGTATTCCTCGTTATTACCAAATAATACCTAGCAATACCGACCAAATACCGAGTAACAATCCTCTGACCGAACGTAGAGCTACGTCCAGTCAGAGGACATAATAAAAGTTCCTGGCAAAGGGCATGAGCAAGTCACCCATTCAAACTCCAACTTTGAAGATTTTTAATTTTTTTCTTTAAAATGGAAAATTAAATAAAAAAATTAATAATGGTCAAATTTTAAAATTTGTTCTTTTTTTATCTACATAAACTATATCTACATCCCACAAATGTTCTAACACACAACATTGTTTATCGAGAAATGTAGTATGAAATGACTCATATATACTAGCTATAATTTGATGCTCACCAAGATTCATTAAAATTGAAGCTGCCTACGAATTAGAATGGACTCAAATCACCTAGTGAAATATTGATTTCAATAAACATATTAAAATTGCATTGAATTATTGGTTGAGTTTTTTTTTTTCCTTTTTTAGAAAATACTTGGAAGTAAGGTATTAAACCATCATAAAAAAATAGCATGAACCGCCCGTCATTATTAGACTATGGCCACCTGCACCCGATGCCAGCCATTAGCGCCACCTGCACAGAGGCCGTTGTTGCTCATCATCAATGCCAGCTACAAGCCACCATCATTATTAGAATTTACAATACATTCATTTTACTTCAAACCAAAAGAAAAAAATATATACTTATATTTATTATACACACTTTCAAGCAATTCAGAAACATTTCAAATATGTTTAATTTGCTTTCTATTACATTCATTTCATTATATATTACTTTTTCAACTAACCAAAGGGTCTCTTAATGAAGAATAATTTTAAAACCACATGTCTAAAACATTATAATTTTTTTTAGAATTGGATCACCGTAATAGTTATATTTGTACTGAAAGAAGATTTTTATATCTTGACTTATAAATAATCACACTTTTTAAGCAGCAGAGTTCATAAAAAATCATATGAAAAATGATGATCAAAGCATCCACATTTACACAGGTAGAGACTTCGGTTTCGTTTGGGCCAAAATTTTTTTTTTTGGGATATTTAGGACAAACTCATACACATGACGTATACACAAAGACTCAAACCTAAAATCTCTTAAATGGAAGCCTAAACTCTGAACCAACAGGCCAAGATGAGCTCTTTCAAAAAAATTTCTTACTTACAAACTATTTTAAAAGGCTGTCCCAAAACAAAGCCTAACTTAGTTTGAAAGCCAAATGCTGTATCATGCTATTCGCATGAAATACCATGCATAAGAACTTTTTTTAATCATTCATAGCTCACATATCACACTCTTTTCTCAAGTTCCCTATCTCCTTAATTACATAATAAACACCAACTGTATATCTACTCCAAAAAACCCTTATAAATCTGAGCAGAACTTGTCAAAAAAAAAAAAAAAATCGAAGCTTGAGGCCACAGCATGTAACAACAAACTTCTTTTAGCTGAATTCATTATTTTCTGAAAATAAAGCAGGCAAAAAGAAAGTAACCTAATCATCCTCAAATTCCAAGCCAGATGGTAGACTTATACATAACATATCTTCACCAGTTCCAAACTAATTAATCATCTCATGGCATTCAAGTTCCAAAAGAAGCCTTACACTTCAAAACAAACCCAAGTACCAAGAGAAAGGTGAATATCCCACACGAAGAACCTCCTACTCGGTGAATCCAGTAAGGATCAAACCTCAGAAATCTCTGGTCCATGAAGCATGTGAGACTGATACAAGAGATCAGCAAAATGAGAAGTAATGGCAACCAGAAGCTCAAGCTTCTGTTCTCTTCATCTTCGTCTTCCTCTGCAGCTTTCTTACCAATATATAATGGTGAGATCATGGCAAGAAGCACAATGGAGATTGCAAATACCTTCTCAGTAACAGTAGGCCTGCTCATTTTGTTCTGAAAGAAAAAAAGAAAATTCTGTGATCTAACGTTCAAGTTAGAAGATAGAAATTGAAGTGACGAACTGAAAATAAGCTTACAGTGCTGTGAGTGTGAAGATGTGCTGTTCTCAGCGCTCGCTTTTGATCAGAATTTTTAATGGGAAAGGTCCTTTTAAGAAAGAGAGGAATAGATCCTTGGGTTTATGGCAGGTTAATATATAAAAGGAGGTTCTTTCTGGTTTAGTTTAGAGTACCACGGTATCAGATGCCTGAAAGTAGTGGAGGTCTTGCAAAGTCATTAAATCATGTAGAAATTTCCAGTTGGTGCGTTGTATGATGAGATAGACTATCGAAAATAAAGCAACATGAACAGTAATAGCATAAGTGATTACATTGTTTGCAAGTGATTTAATTTGGACTTTTCTTTATAAAGAGGGACAATGAGAAATGCTTAAAGAGAAGCATAAGCAGGAAGCTGGGTATCATCCACTTGAAGCTTTATTCGATCTGTCTTCAATGGAACTTCTTGTTTTCAATGAAGCTTACAACATATTGTTTTCAATGGACTGCACTAACATAAAGCAGGCAGGTACCTTCCCATGTTAAGGCAGATATGTTTTTTTTAAATTCTAAAGTGTATTACAGGCAATTTATTAATGACTTGATCGCCCAAAGTCACAATCCCTCCACTAGATTTATTATTATTAAAATTACACTTCATATATTCAGTTTGAGATCTACTCAAGCGAAAACCTTTAGACTCTAAGATTGACCTCCATAATTCAATTTTACCTTCAACACCCTCTCTAGTCTTATCAGCAAGAAGAATATCATCAGCAAAAGTATAAACCATGTCACGTCCTCTTGCAAATGTCTAGTGAGAACATCAACGACTAAAGCCAAAAAGATATGGGCTTAAGGCTTTCTCTAAATCAACACCAAAGTCATGCATGGAGATTAAAAGGCATGCATAGTTTGAGCATGGAGACTAAAAAAAATTAAGGAGATGCATGGAGATCACCATTGGCTAAGGTGGACGGGGGGAATCGACTAGCTAGGTCAGTTGGTCGGCGATGCTAAGGCAGAATTCGGCGAGGGCGTTGAGGCTTCTCTGCAAAAATCAAACAAGCAGGCGATCGAATGCATGCAAAGTTCGGCGAGGGTGTGGGTATTCTCTGGACGAACCAAACGAGCCAGGCGAAGAAATGAGGAAGAAAGAAGGAAGGTTCAATTTTAGGGTCATTTACGGCAGTTTAAACCGCAGGAAACTTTTCACTTAAAAATGACAGCTAAAATGCCAGTAAATGTCGTCATGACAAGATAATACTGGTGGCAATTCCCATGGTCATTTGATCGTTGGAATTTTCGGTGGTTTAGTGTTTATTACCGGCGGTCCAACCGTCCATTATTTCTGACAGTCAGATGACTGCCAAAAATACCGACGATATTCAATGAATTTTCTATAGTGGAACTCCCAAAGTCCCACTTGACCTGTGCGATTGTCTAATCCAGTCTGCAAGCACCCCACGTCCTGTGAGGCTGTGACCACCCTGCTGCCTTGAGCAACTCTAGCTAACTCGCACGGGCACCTACACCGCACCTTATATGAACCCTATGGGTCCGCCTGAAATCACACTTCTTACTCATTCACATATTGTCTAGCACAGCCTATCTAACTGCACTCAGCTCCTACCACCATGCCCTACGAGCCCCGCTCGCCTTGCATATCGAAATATGTTACATAGTATGATCCTGAATGACACCCTCCTCCATTCTCTGTCCAGGGCAGATCAATACGAACCTCCGCCTGACTACCGCGAAATCGTGACCCTACTTTTGTTCCTCATTCAAGTACTCCACGCTTGGACTTGCAGCCGGCCTAGATCCCAACTAGCTACCCATGAGTCGTCCGCCATTGATTTTTTTCAAATGAACAGCCTAAACCTTCCTTCATCCTTGATTTTCTCAAGGAGACTCTGAATCAGTTTCTTTAGACAAGAAAGCCTCCTCCTCCACCTAGCTCAGTTCCCTCCAACACTCTCTGATATCAAATGTTAGGATCTTGAGTGAGAGGAAGAAGCACTAATTCTTAAGCTTATTGGGATAGGAGGAGCGAGAGTGGGAAGGGGGAGGTAGAGTGTTGAACTCAAATCTTATTTCTTAATCATCCACCATATTAAAGCCTATAGCCTCTATTTATGAGCAACAAATAGCTACACCAATGACAATACAAGGCAATCAAGAAACTAAAAAGAGTACAATCCTAAATCTTGAACCAATATCCAACATATATATTATGTCAAGACGGTTTACAAATTTTTTTTATAATTATTTCTGAATTATTATTTGACTGGATTAAAATACGGGTTGTTACACTATTAAAGAAACTCCTCAAGCACACCATCAATGTAAAATTATTCATTGAATAATTATTATCTTTGCTTGACTATTAAGAAAACATGATCTCAATTGTCAGACTGATATGTCAAATAATTATATTTTAATCATCAAAATGCCCTCCATTAAACCTATAAATTAAGCCAATATGAAGCATTTGATTTATTCTAGATCTTCAACATATCTCCTTTAAATTAATACTTAGTAGATTAGATGACTCAACTAATTTAAGTACCAAGTGTCTTCTTCTCAAAAGATAACCTTATTTATTGGTTATGTGTCAAATATTAAATTAATAATCTTATATGACAAGCTATGATTTGAACTTGTTTGTTAGTAACCTACAATTTTTTTAGGCGATGAGTGATTCTAAGTGGTGTACATTCAAATTTATTTAGGCTGAGTTAGACAGACTTTGCTGGTTAAAATAGTTATAGTTCAAGTCAAGTCAACAAACTAGAGAACAAAAGTTCACTGTAGTGAAAAGTTGTTAAGAGTATGCAAATATCTCAATGGCAAGTTCGAGTTTTCAAAGAAATTTGACATGCTATACTTGACATTGGGATCATTGGAAGTTACCGATCGAATGTGATAGAGACTTTATCAGAATTTGACAAGTCTAAGTGAAGCCAGTGGCTGAATTCACCTGAACTTATCATTTAATTATGAAATCAATTGAATCTATTAAGCATTTTAAATCTTTGGGAATCTAAAATGCAATGTATTTAGAATATAAGGATGCTTGTTTTAGGGGATCTTTGGTTGGAAGTAAAATGGGTGTAAAATAAAGCGAATGTTTGAGTTGAAAAATTTGATGTTTGATTGGATGAAAAAGAAAAGAAAAAAGTAAAGTATAATATATATAGTATAAAACAATTTAGCACAATTTTTAGGTAAATGATTCTCACACAATTTCGAGCAAGAATCATTTACACTGCAAGCAATCTTAGCCATAGCCAGCACCGCCGCCCGTTAGTCACCACTCATTGCTGGAGATCGACCACCCACCACTTGCCTCTGCCACCCGATGATCAACACCCACCATTTGTCGCCGCCGCCCACCTGTAGCTACCCATTGCCGGCTACCACCACCAACCGGTCACCACCATGCATCTTTAAACTTTATATTACATTCATTTTACTTCAAACCAAATAAAAAAATCATTTACCTGAATTAATTTTATGCACATTCAAGCAACTCCAAAGTATTCTTTTTTTATATTATCTTTTTTTTTTTTTACAGTGCATTTCTTTTTTAGCCAACCAAACAACCCCTAATGAAAAAGAAATGCATAATAAAATAAATGCAATGTGAAGTAAATATAATGTATTAAAATATTTTAGTGTTTGATTATATACATTATAAATGCATGGGATTTTTTTATGTTTTATTTGAAATAGAATTTGTTTTGATAATTAGGAGAGAATAGAGGGAGGTAATATATATATATATATATTCTCTATCCCAATATTTATGCTTCAAAATGTCAAAGCAATCTTTCACGTGGGAAGATGAAGTCTATTTAGATATTTTAAGAGTGACATGCCTTGTAAATATGCAGAAGATTCATGATAAATTCAGAGTTCTTTATCAAACGATCTATATTGATTCTCTTGACCAGGAGTGTTTGTCAAGTATTTATGTTTTTAATGATCTCAAAATTAAGTGATATGAGACTCGTTGAATTCGTCACGCCGAGCCCCTCAATTTGACTAGAACCATGCCATATTTGGTCATCCAATTAATGCTTTGAATATTTCAGATATGTTTCAGTCCCTTGATTTATGTCCATTTGGGCCCGGATTAGACATTTTTTAGTGTCTTTAGGTTCTCCTTGTCGAGACGTTCAACTTGCCTACAAGTTTGATAAAATTGGTATTCGGATGATCCCAATTTTAATTTTGAAAGTTATCAACTACCTAACATAATCCTCCAATTTTTGCATCTAAAATTTCAGATCTAACGGTGAGTGTTGCATCAATAAATTGCTCTAATCAAATAAATAAATATTATCAAATAATTATTTTTTAACAACAGCAATTTGACCCCACGTGACACCTTGAGCCTTATCCTCTTTCGCACATCTATTTTTGTGAAAATAATTTATTAACCCACCGCGGGGTGGCCTAGTGGTGGAGACTTGGCTGGCCAAAGGCCAGGTCCCAAGTTCGAATCCATTCGACGTTTCGTGACAGCCTTAAGTGTCGGCCCTGTAAATTGGTGTGGGTTGCATGCTAGGTCGACCAGGAAGATTAGTGGCCGAAGGCCGACACTCCCTGCCCAAAAAAAAAAAAAAATATTACATATAATGCATCCATAATTATAATTGTTTGAAATAAAATGTATGATAACTTATTATATTAAACCTTACTGATATTTTCTTAAAAAATATATTAAAATTAAATTTTTAATGGCACACGTGGCAAGTTTTCGAACACCACCAACAATTTCGCTTATCCATATAATAGTGTACATATGAAATTTCCATTTTATCCTCAGGCTTGAACTCATTTTCGTTTTCTTTTAGAACTGATTTAAGGGGCATTTTCATAATTACCTGCACCGGAGAACGGTTTTAAAAAATAAGCTTAATTGTTCTTTGGCGGGCCAGTTAAGAGCAGAGCAGCTAAGCCAAGAGGGAAGCAAAGCATGGCGGGGATTCTTTTATTTTGATGCCGGCTTGGATTAGGGTTAGGGTATTCTCTTCCTCTTCTACGGTTAGATTGTAGAATCGCCGACGGGATGTCGATCGTGGCGGCTCAGCCGCCCGATCTTCTGCGGCTTTCAGCCTGGAGAAATGGTCGGCGCCATTTCCCAGGAAAATTCACCTCTCCACATGTGTGAGTTACCGTGTCGTTTGCGGATTCTTGTTTGGCTGCAACTTATTTTCTTGAAAATATCAGTAGTTGAGTTTTGTTGAGCGATTTTATATTACATCGACGTTATTTGATTGGCTTCCGTTTGAATTGGGGATTTTAGTGGGGCTAGGAGCTTCATTAGGGCATCCAATGATTGGAAGAGGGAATGCAATGTTGATAGCAAAGATGTATCGATAGAATGTGGACGTCTTGGGATTTCTTGTGGACCATCCGATCTCCGGTTTGATAGGCTGCAACCTACAGAGGAGGAGATTAATTGCAGGCACCGAAGGGTCTTTGGGAGATACATTGCTCGAGAAGCTATGCTTGATGAGGAGTTTTGGGTAAGATTTGAAACTTATGAAGAAGATGGATCTTTACTTATGTATTGGTATTTTGAAAATTTTGGGTATTATGGCCATAAAGAGGTAGGTTTATTTTTAGAATTTCTTTACGACGTTTTGCTTTGGGGGATCTGATTCTTTATAGACTGCGGCATGGCTGAGGGCGGAGAGTCGTTGGGAAGATCAACCCGGGGACAGGTAATAATTTTTCTTTGTTAACTACTCTGATCTAAATTACTCTCTACAGTTGCATTTAGATTTAGAATTCTTGTCTTTCCACAGTTGTATTTAGATTTAGAATTCTTGTCTTTCTTCAGGTTTCTCCAATTTAACAAGAGGAAATTTGCTGATCAGGTGAATTTTTCTTTAAACTAGGTTCTGTTTTTCTTCAGACTGTCAAACATTCAAGATTTCTGCAAATATACTGCTTTTGTGCATGGGAAATGCAAACAGAGAAATTTTATCTCTTATCACAATCAGGTTTAATAAGGCAGGGTGTTAATTTTGGATGTTACAAACCTCAGCTTCTGAGATCATTTTGAGTTTAAAACAATGTTAACTTATGAACTTGAGCATGACATTAATATAATATAAAGTGATAACTGGGTGTGATATTTTTATGCATCGTGGGTCTATTTTACAAAATAATGAGATTGTGGATAGAACTTCTAGAGTTAATGTTGAATGGTTAAAATAAAGAGTGCCTCTAGAGCATCATGCACATAAGAAATGTATTAAAGATAAATTTTAGCAAATTGTAATTAGGTCACTGGTTTGTATAGAGTGTTTGTATTAAAAAAGTCATTGATAATTGCATCCACATTGTTGAGTGGAATTGCTTTTGACCTCCAAAGTGGAAGTCTAAGAAGGATGGATTGATGAATGATTATATTAAACGAGCAAATTGAGTAGCATCTATTGAAGATGAAGTAGTAAAAAAGATTTAGGTTGTTTGAATATGCTTAAACAAGGATAGAAAGATTTTGCACCAAAAGATGGGTGTTTAAACTTACTGTCACAAAATATAGAAGGAGAAAGGGGTAGACCAAAGTTAACATGATAGAAGTTATGCAAAAAGATTTGCGCAATAGGTTTAACACCAATGCGGCACTTAAATGGGACAAATTAAGAATGTAGGCTCATAAAAACAAGCCCAACTTGTTAGAATAATGCTATGCAACATGAAATCATTTTGCAAAAAGGAGCAGCCAATGTTTAGGTTAGTTAAATGCTTGACATGTGGCTGATATGAACTATTATCTTGCATGTAATAATATGCAAAACCAGTTTAGAAAGTAGTGGCTATTTGATTTTTTATGGATGCTTTTAGGTTCGAAATTATTAGAAATGACCTTTCTTTGTTAGATTTAAATGAGAATTTGACTCTTAATAGGACACAATGGAAAAAAAATGATTCATGTTGTCGACCCTAGGTAGTGCGATAAAGGCTTGATGTTGTTAATGTTGTTGATTTTAGGCATATGCACAAAAATTTGACTTTTGGTGGGGTGGGCATGAAATATAAATTGAGTGGCACGTTCAAATAAGGGAAACCTCCATATTTGAGTTTGGTTGAGGCATATGCACTAATGCACCAAAAATTGACTTATGATGAGGTGACCATGAGACATAAATTGAACGGAAACATCTATAAGCGGCTTCTGGCAATTTTAATAGGAATTGGATATCTACCATTCATCTATACGGCTATACCCCATTGCAGAAACCCATGTAGCCCGTGGTGAGGAGACGTCAGAATCCTTGCAATTCATGCTATCCATCAAGATTCAAGCAATGCAACATTGATGATGATCCTAAGTTCCTGCTCTTTCTTTTTTAATCTTTTTCACTACTTATTATCCTTTTGGTGGCTGTTATCTATTTGCAGTGTTCTTCATTCTCTGATTATTGTGATTAATATAATTGCAATTGTTTTAATCACCCTTCTGCCACTACCAATATTCAAAATTTCAAATGATAAATTATTTAATGTGATGAAATTCAATTACAGGAGTTTCATGCAATAAAGAGGCGATGCACAGGGAAGTATGCTGAGGATTGCACCTGCGTTATTGCGGTATAATCAAGCAATGAGATATTATTAAGAGTTTATGTTGGTACGAGTGTAGAATATTGATACCAATGCAACTGCAATACCAGTCATTAGTATATTCCCAAAGAATCAAATGCGGGGATGCTCAACAGATAGCTTGTTTTCTGCCATGATTTCCTTGCATCGAGTTCAGGTCAAAATTTTCATTTGATTTGAGTGGAAGTTAGTATCACTCTGTGATTCAGATGGAAGATGGAGCCCTGAACTTTAAACATCCTTAAGAATCTTGCAGTCTAAGTTTTCGATTTCATTTTCGTTAACTGCTTATTTACAAATACTATTTTCTGACTGGCAATATCAGGTGAAAAAGGAAGAGTTTGGTGTAAAGCGTACAGTTTTAAGCAGCATTGTTGGAACACTTGACTTTAGTCTCAGACAACTTTTATGTGGACAAACATTCCCTGGTGTACGGGTTTAAATATGCTTTCCCTTTTACAATTTGTAATTCTTTAGTTATTGGTAGTATAACTATAGGCAATTTATGTCAGGAGCGATCAAAGGCCCCATTTTCCTGTGGTATATTCCGATCCGATTTACCTAGGTATGGCTACATTGCAAACTTATGTGTTGCCAAGTATGCACGCCGTCAAGGAATTGCGAGCAACATGCTTTTTTTAGCTGTGGATGCTGCGAGATCATCTGGTAATAATGAATCTGAGTTTTTCTGCATTTTGTATGAGGAATTATTGATAGGATATTAAAAGATTTGCCTAGTTGGCAACCTTTTTATGTGTCATTTAAAAAAATTGGGATCAGAGCAGCTAAATTAAAGGAATGCATGGTTTTGTTGGTAATGTTTGATATTTATGAATTCCTGTATGAATGTAAATGATTCAGAACATTGCTTTTATACTTTGAAATGTTCACCATATTTGCTAACCTTTTATTTCTTTCTGTAGGCGTTCATCAGGTATTTGTTAATGTCCACAAGGATAACATAACAGCTCAGAAGTTGTATGAGAGGATAGGCTTTCAGGTATAGGCTACGTCAGTTTTTGTGCATAGAGAACATAGTTACTAGTTACGAGGAAATTCACAATCCGCTAATGTTAGCTTATCTGCAGATTTTTGAGAGGGCCACCCCTCAAACAGAGGAAGAGAAGCTGTATTTGTTGTGTTACGATGTATAGAACTTTTCCTGCAACATGGGGCTGACCGCTGTAGCCATTTTGTGTTGGCTAGACAAGATAAGTCCCACTTGAGGAGTTTTACTTCGGTTTGATGACCTACTTTGGCTTCGTTTGGGACAACTTTCTTTCTATTTCTTAAAGCAGTTTTTTAGTACAAAATTAAAAGAAAGAGGCAAGCGAGTTTGCTTGGCAAAAATGGTAAGACTTTTAGTTACCATCTCTTACACGTGTAAATTGATTTATCATAGAAATGATTGTGCCTTCAATGTTAGTTTGCATACTGACCATGATTTACACATGTAAATTGATTTCTTATAGAAAAGATTCTACCATTCTTTTTGCTTATTAAAGGGGTATTAGCATTGTATATTGGAGAAGAGGATGACAAGACATTAAAAGTAAACTTAAGATAATTAGCGATCATTGCATTGATCAAGAGGGTTATGTTTTTGCAGTCAAAAATCTCCAAGTCATTTTGAGTTAATTGCATGGGATAAGTTAGAAGTTCAGATATTCGCTTTAATTGGGTTTTTTTCTAAAAAAATTTCAAACCTTGATTATTCCTGGGATGAGTGCATCCTGAGATCTTATAAAAAATGAGACAATTATGAGGTTCAACCTAGTATTGGAAAAGCTGGGCCATAGCAGACAGTACCTTGCATAATATGACTTAGGTTGTTACTGTTGATATTAGAGCTTGACCTCATATAGTACGATGTGTGATTTTGGCACATACTAAGTTGAAACTGGTGGGCCTTAATACTCGACTCTAAAGAGATCTACTTTGTTAGGGCTAATTCCCAAACAAGGTGTGGCTACTAGCAGTGGGTAGGCATTCTTTCTGGAGATAAGGTGGGGAAGAATGACCTTAATCCCACATCAAAAGTTGAGAAAGGAATATTAGTTTTTTTTTTTTTTTTTTAAAGGAAAATGATGAGTTTTATGGGAGATGACATGGAGCAACAAGTTGCATTGGCCTTATAAACAAGATATGCATCGACATTGTTGGTTATGAAATTAGTGGGCATCGGTGTTATCGAGCGATGAAGGTCGGGAGGCTATAGTTAGACGATGATTTTTAGGAGATTGTAGTCGGGCTATAATAGCTGGGCGACGATGGTCAAAAAATATTATTTGACAATAATTGTTTGATGAACTTAGTTGGGTTATGATAGTCAGGCGATAGTTTCTAATAGACTATAGTCGGATCTCAATTATTGGGTGGAGGTTGTTAGAGACCATAGTCAGGCCATAATAATCACATGATGGTGGTTAGGCTACACAATCGATGGCTGATGGCATATAGGCCAAGATACTCGGGTGATGCTGGTTCGAACCGATGTTGGTCTTTGGTCTTTGCAGAATTTACACAAGTATTTCATGATAAAAGGAGTGGGTCTTTTAGTCCGAAATGAACATTTGGGTATATTTTTTAAAAGAGGGGGGAAAAAAAAACAACTTAGAAGGCTAATTAATGACTGCCGCTAGGAATCCTCTCAAGAGAAAATGGTTGGCGTGTAATCAACCCATAAGTCCTCTCTTTTACCTATGATGCTAGTGCTCATGCTTTAGCTAAGGCTCCTGAAGTCGTTCATCCTTAGGATGGTGGTGCATCGACCTCGTCGGCGGTGGCTTGTAAAAAAGAAAGACAACAAAAAAATGAATTGACTTTGGCTGTACAACCCCTTGTATAGATTCTTATTTAGGGCATCTTCAACCAAACTCTAAACACATGAATGACATCACTCGCATGCTCCAGCCGAACGGCAAAACTTCCGGTATTTGGTTGCGTGGCGTCGCACTGTTCACATGCGTTATTTTTTTGTCTCCGCCGGATTTGCCGAAGAAATGCGCGAAAGAGGAGAAAGACGGTTATCTTCTACGAAGGGCGCAAAATAGAATCCGATTGGAGATGAATCATGCCATTTTTTAGTTTCATTGCATTTTGGAGTGAAAAATGAGATTTTCCATTGGAGATGCCCATATTTACCAAAGATATTGACTCTTTAATCTGCCTATATTGTAGCAATTTTCTGTGAATAGTAATAAGTCAACTTTATGCTTGGAATTTCAGAGTGGCATATTAAGGCTTCGTTTGGGACGGTTGCTTCTTAAAATAGTTTTTTAGTATAAAAATTTTAATTTTTGGGCTAAAAAGTTGCTTTAAAAAGCAATAAGAAAGTCGTCCCAAACAAAGTCTAAGTTAAACACACAATCTCTTTGAAGTTTATTTATAAGTGGCTGATCAAAGATGGCGATATAGGAGGTCAGGGCGTTGATTAAGTTGAAGTCGGCTGAGGCAGTGTAAAAGGGCCCTCCTCCTTCAGGGCAAATTATTACGTCCGGTGTCCGGATTCGTCCGGACACCAATCCAGACATGCCACATCATCAAAATATATTGGAATCCAGTGTATTTGGGTGACGTGGCGCGTCTGGATTAGGTGTCCGGATGTAATAATTCGCCCTCCTTCGGATTGGGTGGCCCAAATTTAAGAATATTATCTAAAATTTGACCAATACTTCAAAAGAGGAGTAAGCACTTACCACTGCATAGTGAAAATGCAGTGGAAATCAGATGAACTTGTTTAAATTAATTGGAAAATGTAGCATCAATCATCTAATTGTCTATGAAATGGCGACCTGTTAATATTTTATGAACTTGTTTAATTTCTGTCTGCAATCATTTGATTGGGCCTCATTTAATGGCTGTGATGTAATGCAATGTAGGAGATTTGGCTTAAATCACTGAGATGGGCATAATTTTTGTACTAAAAAGTTAAGAAAGCCATTCCAAATGAAGCATAATTTATTTAATATATTAAATTTAAAATATTATATGGTTTGGAGAAGGGATTTATGTGCATAATCTTATGCTTCATCTGGAACGGTTTTCTTCCTGTTTTTTAAAGCAGTTTTTAATTAAAAAAAATAAAAATTTTTAACTAAAAAGTCGCTTTAAGAAGTAATAAGAAAGCCGTTCCAAACGAAATCTTAATCTTGCATTTGGAAAGATTTTAATTAGTAAAAATAAGTGGATTCAATATAACATTAATATAAATAATAAAAGAGTTATGATTTAAATTGATAGAAGGCTTGCTTTTTAGCATGTTAATAGTAATAAAATCAAAATTTTCTGCCATTATATGTGGTCGGTTATATAAATTTTTTTCTCAATCTTGTTTTATTACGATGTGGGAACTCAAGTGTTGGAAAAAAAAAGTTGAAGGTTTTGTTAGATAATCTTCAATTAGCGTAAAATTTGTCGAACAATCATGCTAAAATTCGTGCTCTTTAGCATGTATTAAAGATAAAATAATAAGTTCTTATAAAATTACAAGATAAGCAGCATGATTAGGCAAAATAGTAAAGAATTAAAAACAAATTAATTAAATGTAAACCCAAATTTTTTTTACCATAAAAAAACTTAAAAGTGCAACTGTTATCAAGCTGGAACAGTTACAGAATTAAATTCATTAAATTGATATCAATATTAAACAAACATACAGCTTTATCTCTTCAAAGTACGAATAATATCATCAAAGCCTAAACTTTATTAAACGAAATTTCTTATTTTTTTTCCTCAGAAAAAGACCTAATAATTATCTATGCATTCAATTAATACATATTAAAATGAAATATAAGACGAATTCTCCTAATTATTTAGAAGAAAAAAAAAAAGAGAACGTTTGAAGACCAGAAGGCCGGCTACAATGGCGATGGTTTAAATTAAGCTGCCGTCCTGCTAAAAAAAAACTAAGCCGCTCACATAGTTTATGCTCCCACAATTATCTAAACTTGCTGTTATTAAAACTCGCTAATTATAATGATAATGACCGCAAAAAGGGATTAATATAGCTTTACATCGCTTGATTAGACTACTAATATTTTTTTATTTTGTTTATGAAATTAAATTATTTTTTAAGAAAAAAACATGAAATTTTAATTAATATTATTAAAACTCGCTAATTAGAATTAAAACTCGCTGATTAGAATGATAATGACCCCAAAAAGGGATTAATACATCGCTTGATTAGACTAGTAATATTTTTTTTATTTTGTTTATGAAATTAAATTATTTTTTAAGAAAAAAACATGAAAATTTTAATTAATAATAGCTAATAAAATTTTCATGCACTGTCATGAAATCTTGCCCTGTTATAAAAATTAAATATTTTCTAGAGCTTTTACGTTTCTAGGAAAAATAAAATAAAATAAAATATGACCCTATTTAGAAATTTTATGAGGATTATTTATTCCTTGTGTAAAATATTCCTTTTAATTATTTGTAATAAAAAAATGAGATCGTAAGAATATATTAACCAAAAAAATGTTGCCAATTACGACGAACAAAACTACAAATTTATGGTGAAAATTTGGAGCGTTTATTGACTAATAAATGACGAAAGTTTATTGAAAATTGTTAATTAGTGTGCAAATTTCATTTTTTTGCTTGTTTAAGTCTTGTCATAGGAAATTAATTATTCTTACTCTTCCAACTTTATTTCTTTCGCAAAACAATCCTCAAGACCACCATTATTTAAAGGCAAGTTTTTTAAATGGTATTATTTTTAAAACTATTTGATAAAAAAAAGGGAGAAAAACTTAAAATTTAAAGGTTGAAACTTCATTCTTTGAAGCTTTTTGATGAGAGAGATTAATGATTTGAAATTTTAGAGATATTGGTAATATCTATGTAGAATAAGAAATATAAAATATAATTTCTATTTAGAGTATTAAGGTAAAATTTTAAAAGTTAATTTTAAAAAAAATGGGAGAAAAAATTAAAATTTTAAAATACTTCAAAGTCATCATGTGGTTGTGGACGAAGACTTGCATGCCATATGGACAAATCATCATTCGATTTTTTTTTTGAAATGTAATGGATCATAAGATTTTATTTATGATAATTTTTTATTACTTTCTAAAATAATATTTTAATATAACATATTTTGGACTAAAAATTATTGTATTAAAAAACTATTTAAAAAACTAATAAAAAAAATTGCCCCAAACAAAACCTAAATCAAGTTTTTAGTACTTTTCTTTGAAGTTCTATAGTGAGAGTAACTAATGATTTTTAAATTTTGGAGATATTGATAATTATCATCACCATTTTTATTATTTTTATTTCAATCATTATGAATTTATTTTGAAGTAATATTGCATATACAAATTTTCTTTTATATTAATCTTAAAAAAAATTAATAATTTAAAATTATTTTTATATAATATAGATCAAGATATATTTATAAATTTTTTTATTTTGCATAGTTCACGATGTTTATCTTAAGTTTTAGTTTATGACAGCTTTTGGTCATTATTTTTTTGCTTCTTTCAATAAATAT